GACACACACACACACACACACACACACAATTCAATGGAGTACAGTCCTCTTCGTGGGGAACAATAAAACTTTTTACATCCCGAAAGTTCCATATTCAGACGCTCTAAGGCAAAAGTCACTTCGCACAAATAGATTTACCAATGGCCAAGTTTTGAGAACCTGAATACCTACTGGGTGGCGTCGGTAGCCTAGTGGTTAGGCTACCGGACTCGTAATCGTGAGATTGCGGGTTTGGGGGTTTGAGCCTCAGCTCGGTCCGACGTTGTCTCCTTAGGAAAGACACTTTACACGAACTTCCCACTTGGCTCGGTCCTATCGGAGACGGACGTTAAACTAGGAGGCCCCGCCCCTTAAATAACCTAATAGTGTTGATAGGGGCGTTAAACCCATACCATTTCACCATTTTCACCATACCTACTGACGTTAAATTAGAAATCCTTGACTTGAAATTGTATATTATAGTTTTAGATTGGTTTAACACTGGATTTTAAAAAAAAATTAAAAAGAAAATTAACCTGAAAAACAGTCATTCCTGCATGTAACCCACTTTTAGGTGAACTGAAAAGTGGAAAATTCGCGAAAATCCACGCAACCGGCATGCGAATTTATTTTCCCTCCGAAATTCCTCGGGACCTTTGAAGTGAATAGATCTAGCATGTTGCAAGAGAAAGGCTAAAAAGATATTAAACAGTGCAGTTTGTTTTCGATAATGCGTTTTATTTTCCCCCACAAATTTCACGATTAAGATTTTTACTATGTGCATTTTGACTGGTAATCTTTTATAGAAATATTATGAATATTTTCCTATTTTGCACCATGCTCCAGGTTAGTTGGTTTTTTGTTCCCACTGAGCTGCGTGTCCTGATAACTGATTTGTTACGACGGGCTAACATGCATCCTGATTATCGTGTGTGATTAACTGAATGCCAATTTGGAATGTCCTTCTGTACTGTAAAGGAAACAGTACGTTCGTGAGAGATAAAAAAACATGTTTTCTATTCTTTGGAGTGAATATTATAGACGTTTTGGTTCACAAGGAGCTAAGGAATAACCAGAAAAGTTTTGTTATGGTCTAACTGTCTTAAACAAGCAATGGGTGTTACATGATCACAATAAGAAATATCAATGTAAAAGGGAGAGAGAGAGAGAGAGAGAGAGAGAGAGAGAGAGAGAGAGAGAGAGAGAGAGAGAGAGAGAGAGAGAGAGAGAGAAACAAATAGATAGATAGATAGATAGATAGATAGATAGATAGATAGATAGATAGATAGATAGATAGATAGATAGATAGATAGATAGATAGATAGATAGATAGATAGATAGACAAAATAATAGTTAGAGAGAGAGAGAGAAAGAGAGAGAGAGAGAGAAAGAGAGAAGAGAGAGAGAGAGAGAAAGAGAGAGAGAGAGAGAGAAAGAGAGAGAGAGAGAGAGAGAGAGAGAGAGAGAGAGAGAGGGGGGGGGGAGGAGGTCATTTTTGCTTAGCATCATTCTGGGATTTTTTATTTGTTTCTTTTTGTGATTTTGGTTTTTAAAATGTCATAAATCCCTTTTTAAGGCATTTCTTAATGTGCAGGGCATGACCGTACCTGTTTAAACTGTGCAACGTCTTAACCCAGACTAGAAATAAGATATGCAGGGTAATTAAGAAAAACGAAATCAGATTCAAAATAATGTACAGCGATTCACTGATGCATGCTACCAGTTTATAGAATGCCGCCAGATTGCATCTCATGACAGTATTGCATGGTCCTCAGATTGCTGGTGAAGCTGCGCGCCCTTTTAGGGTCATGCTTTTTCAATCTTTTGATAGATTCTATATTTATGTCATGGCCCGCTTTTTACACACTGTCATTTCTGTATCAATGTCTCTGTCTCTTTCCCTTCTGTCAGTCACACCCACTCTTTTTCTGCTGCCTGTCAGTTATTTTGTCTGTCTGTAAGCACCCTCCTCACCCCAAGAAACCAGCATCCGTGGTGTAGGGTTTAAGCGTCTGGTCATCGTACCCAAAAGACGTGAGTTAAATTCATATGCGGGTGCGTATTATCACCATCGAGTACCTCCATCTTATTGCTGGTACCTCTCTGAGCCCAGATTCTATTGATTTATCTATCTGAAATGGGTGCATGCGCCCATGGTAATTAAAAAAAGCTCACCAATAGCATGAACATACAACCATATAATGTATCTTCTCCAGTCGCGCATGCTGGCAATACAACTGTATTAGTTCATTAGGTGTATACGTGTACTTCTGTATTTTGAGCTGACCTCGTGAATAAGTCTATTTTATCGACGACAAAAGTGACCGTTAGCATCCCCCCCCCTTCCAACCTTTACCTCCCCCCTTCCAACCTTTACCTGAGATAGTATGCACATTAAGAGAGGTGAAACCGCCCAAGTTGACAAACACTGGTTTAATCGTAATTAGTACGGCTCACCAATAGCTCCCACAGACGAAATGTTCGCTCTCTGTAGACCTTCTCTCTTAACTTGTGGCTTATCGCTGTTTTGGTTCACAGCTTTAAACTCTCAATCGACAACCCTTTCATAAATGTATACTGAATTCAACACTTTTACTCTGTGCAAGTTTTACTCGTTAACCCGGGACAGAAGACAATAGACTGAAATGCTTATAGCCCTGTGTCGATTCATTTCTTAGAACGTAACGTATGTACAGAGACTTTTGCACTGCTGTTCACACCTTGTTTTCTTTTTCAGACACGCTTTGCTTATTGGTCACACCTCTTGAATACCATAAGCTAGCTAAAAGAGCGTGGGATTTGAACTCACAATTCTCGGGTTAGGAAACGAGAAATAATGACAAGCTTGTCACCAGAATCTAAATAAGCCGTGAAGGCGTCGGGGGCTTGAGGTTTCAACAGGGGATATGCTTCACCAAGTAAACAATCCAAGGCTGTCTTTCTTGTGAGCATAGAAGGATGGGTAGAATTACAAAACCTCTTTCACAGACTGCGCCTCTTCTCCTTTGTCAAAAAACATGGGAGTTTTTTTCATCACATATTTTCCCCCGCCTCGCTCAATTCTTTGCCTGTCGCGGCGTGTGCTGGTCGCCATTCACGTCATCCTCGCGATCCTCCGTCCTTCAGAGGTAAAAAAATATGTCAAACAACGCCCCGAACCCGGCCTAAAGCTTCGGGCGCCACTTTCGGAATGCTGAAATGTCACCCACTTGTAGTTTTGAAGAAGCGAGTAGCGTTATTAATCAACGGGGTAAAAAGATAATAATTATATTCAAATGCAGTTTGACACAGTTCAGCTAGACCAGAGCAGCAGTGCGAAAGATTTGTGTGTACAGTTCAGGAAAAGAACGACAGAAAAAGAGATATAGGGAGAGAAAGAGATATAGGGAGAGAAAGAGAGAGAGAGAGAGAGAGAGAGAGAGAGAGAGAGAGAAGGGGCGGGAGGTTAGGAGAGGTTGATATAGCACATCACCCGTCGCGAGGTATTGGGGTACGAAAAGCTCTGAAGGAGACAGGGTGGGAAAAGAATCGCGAACCTCGGTGAACTTGACATTCCCTTTATAAGAACATAGCAGACACATGTCTGATCAGCAGCAGACTCAAAGCAATATTGCGGCACATTTTGAACCAACATACCCAGATCAGAAACACAAATTTGAATCTTTCAAAGTATACATGTCACTGCCTGCCCTTTTAGGTTAAAGGGGGAGGGGGGCATAATTGAAAATTCTGTATGAAGAAGGTAGTTACATTTCTTTTGTTTTAAGTGCCCCAAAATTTGTCTCCGAGCGTTGTACAACCTGACATCAGACATGTGCATCCGGAAATACAGACACTTGCACTTCTCACTACTCGATGTTACAACAAAAGTTAGGAATCATTGGTATATTGACCAGACATGGCAAAGGCCATGAGCTATTTCTATTTGAGTTTAAACATGACTTGTTACCACAGTTTTGTTGGGTTTTTATTGCACTAAAGTTCCTGAAGACTCCCTACGGACCTCATTCCTTTAAACAATCTGTACATGTGAGGCAGCAAGGTGGAATCAGGCTCTCGTCAAAATAATCAAAGTGAAGAAACTTGCATTTTTCTGCAGGTTTGTGAATTTTTATCAAATTTTTGTTTTTTGGCTCAACACCTTTCATGCCCATTAAAGAATTAATTTCTGGGTGGATTTTCCCGAAAAACGTTGATTAAAATCACAAAAATGTAACCCTGCTGTTATCACGAACTCTTAAGCTAAAAAAATAACTAATCTTTGGCTGCCATTTTCTCACTAATTTTACCTTTGAAAACATATAACCTCACCTCCTTCTTTCGGAAATATCGCGACTTGCATTCAAGATAAATGGATTTTTTCCCCCCATCCAAATAAAGACAAGTAAACAAGCTTTAAGATGATACCAATAACTCCACATGCCCAAAAATTGACGAGAGCCTGATTCCACCACGCTGCCTCACATATACTCTACAACACTGATGAACGAAGTATTGAAAAGAAAAATGGGAAAGGGTCTTGGAGGTTGCTTAGACATACTGTATAATAGATCCCAGCTTACATTGGTAACAAAGACATAATTCCCCAATCAAATCTACTTCATTCTTTGTACCTGGTTTTTCGGCCCGAGAAAGTGAAACTTCTTTTCGGTTTCAGCAGAACAGGAATCGTCGGAAAGAAGAGTATTCAAAAATATGAAACACTAGCTCGTGTTCATTATGTGTGTACGCGCGCGCGTGCGTGCGTGTGCGTGCGTGTGTGTATGTGTTTGTGCGTGTGTGTGTGTGTGTCTGCGTGCGCGTGTGTGTGCGCGTGTATGCGTCTGTGTGCGCGCGTACATGTGCGTGTAGTGCATCGGAGGAGCCCTTCACTAAAGTTTGATAAGATCAGATAATTCCTTTTGAATCATTTCAACATAACAATCGACGTTCCAGCGTTTGTACGACACAAGAAATGCTGATCCTCTTCAACACTAGGATCAATTTTTCATAAAGACCGACTTACTCTTTGTCGCGACAGTTCCGATGCGCCACAAATCCTCTGATCGCGTACGTAAAACGGCAGAAGTCTGTCAAGTGACACCTAATTATTATTCATGCGCCCCTGAACAAACGTGTGAACAGCGGGAAGGATAGAATCCCTTGCTCCGGTAAAACGACGCCCGCGGCTGTTTGATAATGTCAAAGACACCACTTCGGAGTTTTTAAGATGCGTTCTGTAAACATTCATTTTCCGGGGTCCCTATAATTTGGATGCTTGGTGTTATAGTTAGGTATGTTGCGGGTTATCTTTTCTTTTTTTTAAATTAAATGTATGTGCTTTTACAACCAAGTCGACACGATTTAGATCATTTAGAAGGCGGGCTTCGACTCTGCCTGTCAGGGCCAACCTGGGTTGAGAGAGAGAGAGAGAGAGAGAGAGAGAGAGAGAGAGAGAGAGAGAGAGAGAGAGAGAGAGAGAGAGAGAGAGAGAGAGAGAGAGAGAGAGAGACGAAATCCCAGCTCAAAAGACCAAGATACTCAGAGAGAGAGAGAGATAGGGAATCGAACTAGAGTCTCCTGTATTCGACAGTGAAACACTTAACCTCTGCATTACAGGCGCCGATTGGCTTTTTTTTTCGAAACTGAAAAGTTCGTTGATCTTGAAAAAAAAAGAACCAACAAAAAAAGAAAACCCAACAAGACGAAACCTCGTGAGATGTCTTGTAGCTTATTTGGCAAAGCTTCAATGTTCACTGATTTGATAACGGACGGTATAGTCTACTGTGTCTTTTAACTTAAAATGTTAAAACCTAATAAACATGAGTCCAATAAAATCTTCACAAATCAAAGTCGACTTAAACAGCTGAAATGCAACAGTTTCATAAAAACAACAACTAAGCGAACACCTGAAAGAATAGTACATCTAACGCTGTACGTTGTGAAGCTGATGTAATACACTGCGTTGTTTGAACATTTCCTAAACAATATCGTACATAATATATAGTTATAATTGTAGATAGTTTGCTCAACCCGCCCTTTTGACGCAAAGTGAATCTTTGAGGAGGCGGGCTGCAGCGACGTTTATTTTGTTTTTAGAATTGTGATTTTTCTCAGATGAATCCTGAAATCTAAATTCCCGATGTTGTCCAGATTTTTGAAAGACTATTTTATATTTTGATTTCTTTGTACATTTCTTATATCACTTTCTGTTAAAAAAAAAAAGTCTCGATACGAAATGTATAAAGACAATATTGAGTAGTTAATGTTGAAACCTAGAGTGCTCTTTTCCATTGTGTCTAAAAAGTTCAAGATATGTTATTTCACGAAGCCAATTGGCACCTATATGATGTATTTTAGTTTCCTTTCTTTTATTTTTGTTGGATTATCGAGGCTCTTCGAACAGGCATTCGTTATATCCAAATGTGTTGTTATATCCGAGTTCCATTTTGTAAGCTTTGGGACAATAATAAATATTAGTGTGGAATTCTTAACACTGGCATAGTCCCTTGAAACGTAATTAAGGCTTAGAATAGAAACGTTATAAACAGAATACCAATCTACTAGATTTCTCTAAAAGGGCAATTTTAAGAACAAATGGCTCACCTCTATGCCGGAAATGGGAACTTCCAAACCAAAAAAAAAAAGAAAAAAAAAAAGACAAGTGCGTAAAATATAGAAAGCTTCTTACATTTTATTTTGAATTTTTGAAGAACATTTCTTTTTAAACGTGAGAAAAACTTCTAAATATTACAATTGCTTTGACCATTTTGCAAATCTTGCTGTCTGCATGTAGTTGTTTCGTGTGCACATTTCACTTAATTTTGTTTTGAACTGACTCGAATGTTGTACATATTTCCCATTACTTTGGTATGCTCCAGGTCTGTGTGGCGTCTTGGCAACTGTTCTTGTTTGTTCCCTTTCGCGCACGCATCGCCAAGTTTGTGACGCGTTGGCTTTGTCTGGGGTTTCTTTTTTTCTGCCGCATCACTGTTCTCTTTTCCGCTGCATTGCGCTATTGTTTGGCTGTTATCTTTTTTTTTCGTTTTTTTTGTGGTTAGCTCACTATCTTCAATTTTAATTTCTTTTTCAATTGGCATTTCAAGCTGAAATTAAACGATGATCAATTAATATTTTTACCACAAGCGTGGAAAGTCAAGAAATTAACCTGAAGGCATTGATTAAGTTTCCCTGTACAACATAGGTTCTAGAAATTGATGTCTACAGTCATTTCTGCAACGTTTTATTGTCTTTTGAATTTTAACTGCTCAGCTTCTCTTTGTCAAAACTGGATAAAATATAATATTAAACGTGAGAAATTCCATCCCTCTCAGAGATTAGAGACAATAGTTCTGGGCAACATGCCTGAAAAAAACAACAACTGATCAAAACACTTGGACTTACCTCTGGAATTGGAATAAGTCTATTGATTGTTAAATTTGAAATATTTTATTTTGGCTCGAACAAATGGAAGTTTTGCCAAATTCAACTTCTTTTATGAGGATGAAAATGTTCCTCTTGTGCTTGTCTCTTATCCCAATGCTCCCCAAAAACGCTAACGCGCACATGTGTAAGTATACAGTGTGGTAAAAGGATGAGGGAGAGACAGAGAGAGACACAGAGAGAGAGAGAGAGACAGAGAGAGAGAGG